TATCTAATTATTACTTTACGTAATTTATTTTTTTATTTATTTTTATTTAGTATTTTCTATTTTGTAATAATAAACAACTCCAAATTTCTAACGTTATTTGGATATATAGAAACAAAATGAAAATTCAAACACAAAATGAAATCGTGACCGTCAGATCGGCCCAGATTCAATCCGGACCATTGGCTAACACTGTAGCTATCAGCCTGTGGGCTGACATTATCTTTTCCCTATATATATATATATATATATTAATTGTATATATTTGGCTAGATCATACCTGCCTTTCATCAAGGCTCTCATATTAAGTCTCCTCGAGCATACCATACGAAACAAATGGTTAGGAAATAACAATCATAATTAACAAAAATACATGTCATACACAGTGAAAAAATGCATATTGGAATGACTTTGATATCGATCCTCATAACATAAATGGATAACTTAAATGATGTGTTTGATACAAAAATTTATCATAGCTACGAATAATTCTCTGGACTAAACCCCTGATGCATGGTTCTGATTGATGACTACAAATTTACACCGAGGGAGCAAAAAGGGGGTGTGCTATATAGGTACAAGAATGCGCCATCAGTTCCCCAGTTAGGAAAATAATACTGGTTTACGCCCATAACAGAATCCCTTGAACTTCCTCTCAATAATGCATTTTCTCTGAAGTGGTTTACGTCTATAACAGAATCCCTTAAACCTCCTCTCAATATCACCAATGCATTTTCTCTGATGTCATGAACATATCCTCTAGTCAGATGAGCAGAAGCAGATAATTGTCTAAGTACACTACATTTTCAAAAGAAATCTAGCAATACCAGATGATTCAGATTAACCATTTCCAAAGAAGTAAGCAAGTGGTCGTCATGACATGCGTCAACCCTGTCACACAAGCGAATGTGTAAGTTAATATATTTGTTCTTGCATTACATTTGTGTAAACGGGAGAAAGCATAGTCTTCCGGTATTTACTCAGTAATTTTCCTTTCCTCCATCAGTGTAGCCTCTTTAACAGATTGGAACTCTTGAAGAATATTTTCAGTTAATGAAGGCTGTGAAGCATTAATTAATTGATTGTTGTGACCACTTCGAATAGTTCGCTGGTGCGAGAGAGATGCTCGAGTATTATCCTCCCCCTAAAATATGATGTCAGCAAAAGTTTATAAACACGGCTGCATCTATTGCTATATACTATTGAAACACCGCGTGAAAGAGATGTTGAAGCATCATTAAGAGCCAAATATTGACTGTGACACATCTGCTCCTAACCTTAGAAATAGCAACAATTCCATCCATCCTCGAGCCATTCTGAACTTTTTTACTTCTCTGGGTGAGAATCCAGGGTCTTCCTGCAAAGAGATTATGTAAAATAAACATGAATTGTGTATAGGAAAAGAATCTGTACAGAAAATTTAAGAATAAGAGCTGGACAACTGAGTCTGAGCTTCATTACAGATAGCCAACAAAGAAAACTATCTCAGGTTCTAAACAGTACCTCTTGGTTTCTTTATGGTTTCTTGGTCATCAAAAGAAGATTCACGACTGTAATCAGAAGGGACCTTTTGAATAAGATTAACTGTTTCTTTAGCTTCAGAAGCAACACATTTCACTTGTTTTCTTCTCATGCTGATGATTAGGGGTCTCGCTGTAAACAGATTATGCACAACAAGCATAAGAAGAGACCCCAGCTAACTGAATGCATACCTATGTTAATAGATGGCACAACAGGAAAAGCCATTAATTGTACCTCTTCCTCTTTTTAAGGACTTCAGGGACATTCTTCCTTCGTGTGAACAAGATTCGTGGCAATCATCACAAGGGACATTTTGAACAGAATCTGTTGTCTTCTTAGCTTTCGAAGAATTACTATACCCATCCAACCCCACGTCTTTAATTTTCTTGTTTCCTTTTTTGAGGACTCTTGGTCTTCCTAGATATATAGATTAAGTGCAAACAAGCAATAGAAATGGAAATACTTTCAGATAAGGGCACTGCTAGGCTTATCTGACTACTCTTAGACGTGGTCACATGCCCAATAAAACTTTTAGAGCATATAATATTCACCTTTAGAACAATTAAAAGAAATAAATAGAAAACTGATTTTGAGCTTTCAAACCCTAATCTGATTCCCCAAATGGAAAGTTGGGAAACTCTTTGAGAAGTGATTGTTTTCAATTGTTTTCTGAGCTCCAGATCAATTTCTTTTAAATTTATTATAGTAATGAGTAAACATTATCAGAAAATTTTGAGATCATAAATTCTGCCCTACTCTGTTTTTGGACTCCGGGTGTAAAAAAGTTGGCCTTGCAAAACCACCGAACATGTTTCCCTTCAGATAAAACAAAGCACCGATCGTCACATATACCTCTCGGTGTCTTGAGGAGCTTCTGGCACATGGGTTCTAGAACCCGTAAAGGAGATGCATGAGTATCACCACAGAATAAGCTAGGGAGTAATGTATCACTTGCTTCAGAGACATTACGTGTATCTGGCTGCGAGGTTCTAGCAGTGTCCAAGAGGTCTTTGTAGACACCTGCAAATATAGAATAATCATAAGTAACATAAAACAAAGACTGGGCTGATAATATGGATGGCACAACAGGAAACTGCAATGAATCACATGTACCCTTTGTTTTCATGAGAGACTTCCAAAACATGGTCGTATCTGGAAAATTTAGAAAGGTGAACCCCAAAAACTTTGATCTCTTAGAATGTGGCATCTCTGTATACCCAAGAGAATTTCTCCAAGTTTCACTTAGTTGTGGAGCAGCTGGCACAATTAACATTTCGACCTCCATTCTAGATAGCATCTAGAGAAAAGAGCATATGTGCAACATTTAAGGAGGCATCAGTATCTTGCCAACTATTTCTCATGACTAAAACTATACGCAGGGTATGTTTCAAGATACTAGTAACTAACAATATTAGTAAGAGCAGGTTGGAGAGGAATGCCATGAGTAAGATTTCATTCCCAAATTATCCTATTTGGAAAATGTTGATATGAATTCAACCAGTTTGGACAAAAATATCCTCATTCAACTGAGATATTCAAAGTGTCTCAAAAGGTGTATGAAGCAATTCTTTCAAAATTTTGAGCGTTTTCAGCAATAAAGTTTAACATAAAAAAACTTAACATTGTTTTACATTAATAGCAAAAATTAACATTGTTTTACATTACATATGTAAAAAAGACTAATGAGACTATTTATCATTGTACTTAATGAAACTATTTAACATTGGTACAGGGAGGTCACAATTATTTATAACCATCTGATGTTGAATTCTGATAGCAAGGGTGTGTCACAAAGTTTGAGAAAATTTATTTTGAACTTTAAGCTTGGTCAATAGAATAAATGCAGCCACCCAATTTCACATCTAATGGTCAAAATTAATTGTGACCACCTTGTACCAAAGGTAAATGGTCTTATTGTATATTTTTCCTTAATAATATAAAGTTAAATGCATTTGTATTTATTCTGCATCCATATATTTGTTTTTCATCTCTTATTTTCTCTATTAATTACTTTCCAAGTTTATGTTTTATCTCGTATTTTTATTTTCAAAAAAAATGTATCCTCACATCAAAACACAAGTTGGAAAACCAAAATGAGCAAGGAGACAATAAGCGTAAGTATCACTGAATACAGAAATTATTTGAATACATAATACCAAATATTGCTGGACATATGTTCTAAATTTAGCCCTACCTTCTCAATTTCATGAACTAGAAGTCGACACATCCCTTGTTTCCGAAATTGAACACGAGTACCAACAAGAGGCATCTCTGCAACCTTCTTTCCATGTATTCTAAAAGAAGGTAAGAAATCCTGAACGTGAGATACACACTACTTCATAGAATAGAATGAAATTATTTGACATTCTTGAAGAAATATGAGTACTGATTTACCGAATTGCAGCCACAGATATAAGGTCACCTTCCCTCTCCAAAAGTACTGTATAAAATCCCCGAAAGTCCAACCGCTTTAAATTAGACCTACAACATCGCAAAACTCGCCTCGTAAGATTGACTAGAGTCATTTTGTGCACATTTGAAAACTAGAACTTCCAGCTTCAATGAAAGATCCGGCTATGTGGAATTCAAGTCTATAAAATAAATAAAAAAATTCTTATTTCTTTTATTAATGAATCTAAGTTCCACTTATAAGTGACACAAAACACTATTGCAATCGAAAATTAAAAACCTAAATACAACTTAGGACCTTTCCTTTTATTGCTAAAACAAATAAACACAATCCAGGAATAAAAAACAATCTTCCAATAATAATTTAAGTACAAATATTGTTCCTAAAAAATCACACTAAATATGGAAATATTATTGAAAACAAAGGTAAACAAATAGGACGAGTTACTCGATTGTAACCACGGTTACCCCCATAAGGACTTGGTACATCCGATTTCATGACCGATGGCATACTTTTGATCTTATTGGTCTTGCTGAAAATTCAAGACCTAAAAGCTTGTTCAGGCAATACCTTTTACTCTAGGGTTAAGAGAGCACAAGTAACAATTAGGGTAAGGTAGAACCCTTTCTTAGAACTTATAGAGCATGCCTTAAGAAGTCACCTGCCTTTTAGGGCTAGGTGTGCCGCTCTCACTCTTCAAACACTGATTAGGATTATTTTGACATGCCACCCTCTTGATATTCTATTAGGGTGGTGTGCCACTTTTTTATCAAGAGAGAGAGACATGAGAGAGAGACAAGAACTTTGGAGAGAGAAAGAGAGTTTTGGGGCATAGAGAAGAGAGAGAGAGAGGCTCGAAAAAGGTGTTGAGAGTGAAGGGGGGTTCACCTCCTTATATAGGACTCAAGGTCCCTCTCTTTCGTATATCTGTCCAATGACTCACTGTGATCAATAGAAATTAACCAAATCTGCGAGATGAGAGAAAAACAAGTATGAGTCATCTATCCCACAAATCAACCATCATGATATAAGGAAGAATAGGATGAACATTATCCCCTTAATTTTGACCCATATCCACTTCTAGTCAAAATAAGACGACCATTTAAAAACCTTCTAGAACTTCCCAATATCTATTTCAGAATAGTAGGAAGTCGAAAAAAAAATTATTTGGTCAAATCTAACTCCCACAAAAAAAGGCCATATAATTTTCTTTTAGATCCTGTTCTTTTAAAAGATTATGTATTCAAAACCAATCTTTTCTAAATCAAGGAGTGGGTGTGCCAACCCCCACCCCCCCTATAGGTGACATGTGGCCCCATGGGGTGTGGCACACATGTGGGGCTAGATCCAAGAACCCCACATGTGCCTTTCTTGTTTCTCAAAAATTTGAGAATAACCTTTTGATGAATTTTACAATAGAAATAAATTTCAAAAATTCTAAAAATTTCCAAAAAATCTCAGAAACATTTCTAATATCAAAAATCGAATATCTAGAAGTGGACTAGTACCAATGGGTCAATATAAGTGCTATAGGGGCATTCTACCCGACCCAGTGACCATGATCCACAAGGTGTTTTCTCAAACCAACCAATGTACATGTTTGGCAATACATTTGCCACCAATCCTTTGGTCAAAGGATCTGCCAACATAGCCTTTGTTGAGAGATAAGCAACCTTGATCTCTCCTTCTCGGATCTCATTGCAAATGTGGAAGTAGTCGACCTTAATGTGCCTTGATTTCTTGGGAAATCGGAGCTCTTTGGTCACACAAATTGCCGCCTGGTTGCCGCAGAAGATTTTTACATATAGGCACTTGGCTGGACCAAATCTAATTTGATTCAAGAACTTCTTCAACCAGACTGCTTCTTTTGTTGCAAGACAACAAGCTACAAACTTTAATTCCATGGTCAAGAGAACAACGACATCTTGTTTCCTTGAGCACAAGGAAGCAACCCCACCAACAAGTGTGGGATATACGCAGATGTGGACTTCATCTCATCTTAATCGCTTTGATAGTCCGCATTTGCATATCCTTGTATATGTACATCTTCCACAAGTGAGCACGTGATTAATTGTTTCCTTTAAATATCGCAAAACTCTTTTGATTGTCCAATGCTTCATGCTTGGAATCCTCTAGAACCTGCTAACCACACTTATAAGAAATGATAAGTCTGGTCTTGCCCTTGACATAGAGTATATTAGTGACCCAATTGCACTTTTGTACATGATTCTTTATATAGCATCTTTGCCTTATATGGCATCTTTTCCTTCTAGAGTTGTAGGACACATGGTTGGGCTTATCTTGGTCTTCTTAAGATCTTTCATATCAAAATGTTGTGACATGAAAACTTTTGTTTCCAATATGAGAGCCATCGAACAATTGGCAATATCATGTCATCCACATATAAAGAAATGAATATAAAATCACTCCCACTGACCTAGATAAATATACAACAATCCTCTTGGTTAGGAACAAAATCAGCTTTCGATAAGGTCTCCTGAAACTTAATGTACCACTTCCTTGATGCTTGTTTAAGACCATAAAGGAACGTCCTGAAGCCCTCTAGTTGTTTCATATTAACTTCTTCTAGCTCCCCATTTAGAAAGGCAGTCTAAACATCCATCCGGTGGAGCTCGATGGGCAGAGCATCCCCACACTCTTAAGTGGCGATGGGCCCTTAGTGGTAGTATTCTTGAGCCCCATGGTGAGGTCTCTGACTCCATTCTCACTAAAGGGTATGGGCCCAAATCCCCACCGACATACCACTTTGGATCCCACTGACTTACCCTATCCCTTGATCTTCCATCTTTGTTTCTAAACCCTAACGAGACCCTAGAGAGAGAAGGGGAAGAAGATGGTGAGATTTGCTTTCAGCCATGGCTGCGTGGGCTGGTAGTTCTTCAATGGTTTCTTTGGGTAACCCCAGCCATGGAGGGCCACTCCCCATGGACGGCAAGCCACCAAAACCGAGTGGTTTGGCAGGCGGTGTTGGCGGTGAGGAATCTGGTAAGGGGTCGTTTCTGGTTATTGATGGATCTGTGTCTCGTGCTGAGACTGGATCTAGTAATGGGGTTAGATCTGGGTACTGCATGATTGCTGGTTCTAGCTATGGCATTCGGGGAGGCTCTACCACAGTTTCTTCTGGAGATCTTGGGCATGCTATCATCGGCAATATGTCTGATTCGTTGAGTGGAGCTTATGGTGGAAAGGATGCAAAGGGCTCTAACCTTCATGATGATCCTGCTATGGGGTCGTTGAAGGCTGCCCCTCTTGCATTAGATTGGAGAATGTTCATGTTCAATAGAAGAGTTTAACTGCTGCTGGTGCTCCTTATGTGGCTGTTGGTTCAAAGGAGTCGTTTATTGTTATTAATGATTCTCAGTGTGCTGATCAAGGAGTTCGTAGAGCTGCGGACATTACTTGTAATAGATCTGTTGTGGATATAGGCTCTGCCCCTCACAATGGTATGGATGTTACCCATGATTCTGGATCTCTAGTTATCAATGATTCGGGTGCTTCTGGGTTTGAGCAAAGAGATCAAACTAAAGACACTTCTGATGGGTCAGTTATGGATCTCAATATGTCTGTTTATGGTGTATCTGTGGCGGATATTATCCCTCGAAGTGCTATTGATGATTCTAAAAAATCTGTGGATGTGGATAATGGTGTTCATAACAACATCATTGCCCATATTACTAATGGAGCTGATAATGACGACGGTAATTTGATTAAAAAAGATGTTGATAATGGAGCTGTTTTGGGTGGCTCCCGTGATGCTAGGGCAAGTGACGGTATGTTTGTTAAGGGTAAGGAGGGTGCAGCCTTCACAGGAAGTAAGACGGCCTTGGATCTACTTCTCGCTCTCATGGTAGTGGTGCTATAAGGGAGTTGTTTTCCCCATTGAGTTCAGCTCCAAAAAATAATGGGACTACTGCCGCTACTAGTAGTTGTTGGGGTTCGGGAATGTCAAAAGATCTTTTATTTGGTACTTAGGGCATCCAGAATGGAATCTTTTATTTTGATGATTTGGGGATTAAACCTTCAAAGATCACTAATGGTAGACACTATGTTGAAATTGAGAAAGAGATGGTCGATTCATGTCTGGGAAGATGGAAAAATGGTTTACTGGGTTATTTCTTAGGTTGCAGACCCAAATGGACCTATATGAAGGGCATGTTGCAGAAAATGTGGAGGTTGAAACAGGAGATTGAAGTGTTCTCTATTGATGGGGGTTTCTTACTTTTTCAATTTCACACTAAGGAGGTAATGGAGGTGGCCTACACTAGTGGGCCATGGTTTGTAAATACGAAATGCTTAGTCCTTCAGGAATGGCATCCTTCGGTCCAACCTTCTAAGCCAACACGACAAGTTGTTCATGTATGGGCCAAACTCCCGAGCTTGCCGTTGGTGTTTTGGGAACCGGATATTTGGTTTCGGATTTCGTCTAGTGCAGGAAAGCCCTTTTTTATGGACAAACCTACGAAGATGCATTCAAGGGCTGAACCAAGAGTTTGTGTTGCGATGGATTTAGCTAATACATGCCCATCTGAGGTTTGGTCTGATATTAATGGACGAATATAGGCAAGAAATCATCCATGAGTTTATCCCGTCAATATGTTCTAAATGTTGAAGGTTGGGGCTTAAGCTTGAAATATGTCGTTCGAGTGTTGTTCAAAAAGGTCCATCCATGCCTAATGTTTTGGCTGGATATGACAATGGTTCTCATGTATAATTGCCCTCAGGAGAGGGTTGGAAGGTTGTGAAGGGCTGGAAGCAGTACATCTATAAGAAGAAAGACAGATGGTATCTTTAATGGTTTCAAGCTCTTAGCGAACATAGCAGAGGATGCCCATTTGTTGGATATTCAGCAAGCCGATGGTCATCATGATTCCATTATTGGTGAGCCCAGTGCTGATGCTGATACTACTATGCAAGAGCATTTAGTGGATGTTGCTGCCACTGCACAAGAGAAGCCAGATGCTTCTTCTTATCATGATGAAGGACTCTATGATCTTGAAACAGAAAATGTTAATGTTGCTGACGTTCCCAAGCAGTTAGAGGCTCTTCCAGA